GTGCAATTTACGTTGTACTAATTTTATTTCAGTAGAATCGCATGGCTATCGCAAAGAGTGATTTGTCACCACAATGCAGTTCTGAAATTGATTCCTTTGGTATTCTTCGACTGCCAGCGTAGTTGATATTCATCTCCTCCTCTAATCCTCGAAATGACACAACCTTTGAGACGCCAGACAAGCTGAATGGATACAAACGCAGTCTGAGCTACACCAGCAAGCCGAAAGGACCACGCCTGTAGGTCATATTACGCCTCCAATGAAGGAGCAAATTACTTCAGAATCACTAAATGTCTGCCAATAAACGTTGAAGTTCCAACTATAAATTACTCCAACAGTTCCGTTGATTCTTCTCAACAGTACTTACACATTCGTAGCTGTGTTAAGGCACGAGAAATCCACGTCCTTCACAAGGCGATTTACTGCACTAAAAGCCCCAACGACAGTATTGTGACGCAGAAGAGACCAAGTTCAAATAAAACAAATTTTCCGGTATTAGGGTCCAATCCCTGCATGACAGCAACAAACTACAGTGATACGATAGTTTTCTATCTAACCGGGCGGCCATCCTAACTGTCTTCCGCCAACAACGTGAAGGTGTAGATGGTAGACCGACTGACAGCCTTCGCGTCCGTTGTTGATCACAACCCGATAGCCTTTTGCCAGGTTCTTCTGCGCTGCAACTTTCTTCGCCACTAGGAGCAAATGGCCCAAAAGCTAAGAAACAAGATACGTACCAAATTGAGTTCCACTTACTGATTCATCATCCTCAGTGGCAGAATCCAATTGTTTGATGGGTTTCTTAGGTATAACCAAGAAGTGCGTAGGGGCTTGAGGTGAGATGTCGTCAAAAGCCACACACTGATCGTCCTCGTAAAGAAACTTCGCTGGAATTTCCTTTCGAGCGATTTTGCCAAAAATTGTATCTCCTTCTGAAGAGTGAGCAGCCTGAGCCTTTTCTACTTCAGAAGCCATTCTCGCTGCGCAGAACTGGAGCCTTAACACCTGGCAAGTTGATGGCGCCAGAAGCCTGAGCATGCACGTGTAGGTCACATAGCATCATCATCAGCAGCAGCAACCAGAACATCAAAGTAGCTGTTGCATCTAACGCGCACTTACATGGCTAAGTTTAAATCAATTCATTTTTTTCATCATTTTCAAATCAAAATCGTTGTCTCGAGTTAATGTGTTGTTGAGCAATGGTTTTTTGCTGTGCCACTGACTGTGAATAACTGACGTGAGGTAGCTGCTTCGGCAGCCTTTGTTTCAAGACTTAACTCTTCCCTG